TTGGATAATTTAAGTCTGCCATCATTATTATACTATGCCTCGAGGCAGGTTATTTCTTTCTCTAACTCTTCATATTATTTTTTAATCTGTCCAGGTAGTAAATAGCATAGTTCCATGATGACATCACTTCTATTTCTTCTTCCATTGATCTTCACCCAAATACTGTCTACCATAATTCAAATAATCAAATAACAAAATTTTATTAGACAACACTCATAAAGAACTTAGCATAGAGCTTGGCACATAGTAGGTGCTTAATAAATGCCTATTCCTTCCTTCCTTCCTTCCTTCCTCCATGCTTCCTTCTTTTGGTTCATGGATTTCCTTCCAAGTACATGTTCCTAATATCCAATACTAAGCTACCATTCTTTTAATTTATTCTGTTTCTTTTGAATAAGGTATGCCCTCCCATAGCCATAGTCTGATCCAGACTTAATTTGGAGTTCACAGACATTGGTTCTGTGTATAGATTTCAGGGGGCCCATGAACTTGAATGGGAAAAATTACATCTTTATTTTCACTGACCTCTAACTATCCTTTAATTATATCCTTTAATTTTGAATGTTAGCAACAAAACAATATTCTAAGAAGGGGTCTAAAGGCTTTACTAGACTGTCAAAAGTTATCCATGACATGCAAAACATGAAATTAGTATGAACCTCTATCCATAGTTTCCATCCTACCAAGTCTTAGATAGCTATGAAGTAAAATTTCTCTCTTAATCCTTAGATTTCCATTTCACTGGGTTTATTACCTGTCTTTGTGCATTAGTGTGTAGACATGTGAAGCCCCAAGTTTTATTGCTATATTATTGGATATTACTTTCTGTGAATTAGTGGTCTTCTTTACAAATATTCTTCCTATATCATAGCTGTCTTTGTGGCGCCTACTAGGTAGATATATGTGGGTTATTTTTCTCTTTCCCTTCATTTTCACTTTATTTTCTTATCCCCGTTTTTCTTCCTGATTAGAATAAATTACTGCTTTTTCAGAATTCAATATTAAAAGTCTTTGCAATCATTTTAAGCAGTTTTACAGTTTTAGCACATGGGATCTTTTGTATCCTTTCTCTGAACTCTGAAGTATATTCTCCTAAAATTTACCTGATAGATCACATCCTGTGTTGACATTTTTTTCTTTATCTATCACAAACTCTAAAATGGCGTGTTTTCCTCCCACGGCTTCAATAACCATTTCTTCCTTATTAGTCAAAATCAGCTCCTGAAAAGTATTTCTTCTTATTGTTTCCTCTCTCTTTTGAAAGATGAAATTATCTACAGTTGTTTCACTTTTAGCAGAGAGAGACCCCCAACACAGCTATGCCTCCATGCTTGTTTTATGAACTGTTTCAAGAACCTTTCATCCAAATCCTCCAGCTGGCAAGGTGGACTTTAGTATAATCCCACTGCTTTATGGTTTCTGTTTCTCTTTTTTTTGATACTTACCCAAATGCTCTGCTCTCTCTCTCATACTTTTCAGCTCTGATTTGTGAATTTCCACACCTGCGGCTAACCTCTTGCTCTACAATGCCTTGCCTTCTAATAATGATGATAAGAATAATAGCTAGCATTTATATACTGCTTTAAGGTTTGCAGAGAGCCTTACAAACATTATTTCCTTTGATCCTTACAGCAACCCTGGGAAGTAGATGCTATTTCCTATCTTACAGATGAGGAAATTAAGGCAGGATGAGATTAAGTGATTTTTCCAGCGTCACAAAGCATAGAAGTGTCTATGATTCTGGATTTTAACTCAGCTCTTCTTGATTCCAGGTCTAACACTCTATTTATCCACTATGCCACTTAATTGCTTCTAATCTGCCTTCTACTTTATCTGTTATTCTTGAATAAGTTATGAGTTACGTTCCACCAAGTCTAAACCTCAGGAGAACAGACTATGAGCTCCTTGAGATCAGGGACTGGTTGTTGTTGTTGTTTTTTTTTTTTTTGGCCTTTTTTGTATCCTCAGCACTTAGCATAGGGCCTGGCATAAAGAAGACCCTTAATAAATACTTGTTGCCTTAACTTGATTGTACTTGATAAGGAAATGAAGTTTTCCGCAGCTCTATTACAACAGGGGGATATATTAGCAAACACTAACTTTTTACCTTAGCTTACTTAGCTCTTACAGGAAAATGACCATTTAGCAACTGAAAATTTCATAGGCTGGACCATGACTGCTTTCCTGTATAATGAATATAACCGGCTCAGAGATCAAGATAAAGAGGGCTAATCCATAGATTTTGCATAATGAAGCTTCAACCATCAGTAAAGTTTTCTGGTCAGCCATGGTTCTTGGTTCAAGGAAGCCTACTTGTAGATTTCTGCCCTGAGGAGTTCCAATCATACAAAGCCAAGGTAGCCTTTGCAGCCTTATGGGTAGTGGGGGCCTCTGCAGGATGAGTCCTGCTAAGCCATATCAAAACAAAAGACTTGACCTTTAGTCTTTTTTCCAAAGCTCTCATGAGACATGGACCAAATTTTAGGCTAAGCTGTCATTTGGCAGCCATGGGTCACCTAACTAATGCTAATGGGAAAGTGGGATAATATATGTAAATGAACTAAAATAAATCTCAATAAATAATATTTTAGTAAATAAAACTCCAACTTCTCTCTAGTTGTTCAAAGTCCTTTTTTCTCTTAACCTTCAGCAGAGTTTCTAACAAGCAGCAAAATTAGCTGGTTTGAATTTTACTCTCTTTCCCCCCTTTTCCCATCCTCCAGGGGAAATACTAACAAATACTATGTGGTCACATTGTTGTTGTTTAGTTGTTTTTCAGTTGTGTCTGACTCTTTGTGACCCTTTTGGGGGTTTTCTTGTCAGAGACATTGGAGTGGTTGGCCATTTCCTTCTCTAGCTCATTTTACAAATGAGGAAACTGAAGCAAATAGGGTTAAGTGACTTGCCCAGGGTCACAAAACTAATAAGTGTCTGAGGCCGGATTTGAACCCAAGAAGAGGATTCTTCCTGATTCCAAACCCAGTGCTCTATCCACTGTGACACCTAACTGCCCCTACAAACTTACACATGCATAAACACACATATACATATTTATATATGTGTGAGCACATATGTATACATAAATATATACCCATGTATTTGTGTATGTATACATATGTGTAGATAAATACATAGTATACAGAGTCTATACATATATGTATAGGGACAAGTAGGTAGGATGGGGCAGCTAGGTGGCACAGTGGATAGAGTGCCAGACTTGGAATCAGGAAGACTAATCTTCCTGAGTTCAAATCTGGTCTCAGATACTTCCTAGCTGTGTGATCCTGGACCAGTCACTTATCCCAGTTTGCCTCAGTTTCCTTATCTGTAAAATGAGCTGTAAAAGGAAATGGCAAACCACTCCAATATCTCTGCCAACAAAACCCCAAATGGGGTGACAAAGAGTCAGACCTGACTGAAATGACTAAACGACAAAAACAGCAGTAGATAGATAGAGAGATAGAGAGATAGATAGAGTAACCATGGGCTCTGTAATGACTGTACTATATATTAGAACCTCCTTTCTTTACAGGGGAGAGCAGGACAAAGGAGTTACACAAAAACCGGCCAATTAGAAGGATTTCTGAGGTTTAGAGCTGCTTGACATGCCAGCGATCCTTTGTGATCCTAGGTGAATACGGAGATGTCTGTAGCTGCCAGAACCACAGAACCAGCCTTGATCAATTCAAGGGCAACCTTGAGCAGATGCCACAGACTCAAGACCTTTCTCAGGGATTTCTAATCATCCTGCTGCCTGGCTTATTGTGTTTACAGATGTCTTTTCCCTTAAAGCGTGCCCCACTCCCTTCCTGCTAGAAAGCCTCTAGAAACTACAATATCTCACCTTTGTTCACAATAGATAGACAGACAGACAGACAGATAGACAGATAGATAGGCAGGTAGAGTCAGCTTTATTTACAAATACCAGTGATGTGCTTGGCCTAGTAAAAGGTGCTGAATTAGGAATTCTAGCAATCTCCCTTCCATAGATACTTTACTTAAATCAGGATGGACAAACGACCAGCAGTTTCAACACACACACACACACACACACACACACACACACACACACACACACCCAGGGGTCCAGTGAAGGGCACTAATATCCAAAGGACGTCCTGCAACTGATTAATTACTAAACAACTGAATATAAGCAATAATCTGGGTGGTAGGTATAAGATCACCAGTCTTGAATGGAATTCATTCACACATTTAAAGAAACAGTTTTTTATTAACCCTTGATGCTACTAGAAATGCTTTGATATTCCTATGCTGTATTAAAAAAGTTGGGGGAATATTATATGTTTCCCTCTGTCAAAGCTTTCCCTTAGGGATCAGCTCAGTCCTGTTTTGCGTGTGTATGTCTTGTCTTCCCACCCACTGGGCACAGAATGAGCTTTCATGTAGATTGGTTTTATATACAGCCTGGCACAATTATGAGGTCTACAAAGGAAAATAATAGTATTTATTTTAAAAGAAATTATTACTACAAAATGATCCAATAATGATTATTTAGAGCTGCTACCTCAAGTTCCAGCTCAAATTCCCAAGAAGGCAGGAATGAATGGGTAACAAATCACTGGCTAATCTCTCATGCACACCTTCAGCACTTACCAATACATCTTTAAGGAAGCAGGCTAAAAAGAAAAAAAAAATTGGGTTTGTCACCAGCAAACCACTTCAAATGCATGCCCTACTTCATATTAATCTAAGCTTGAAGGACCAGCTATATGAATCTAAACCCTTGGACAGCAGTACATCAACTGAAAGTCTATTAGTGTTTGATGAATGTTCACAACTTTTCAGTGTCTGGAAAGAATAAACCCCAGGCCTGCTCAGGGGGAGCATCAGCCTATGTGGCTTGAAGTGTGATTCTACCAGAGCAGACACCAAATCTAAAATCAAAGGAGGTGCTCTTGGAAGAGCAAGGGATGAGGATGGGAGGAAAGTGAGCTGCAAAAATGACTTCTCTGCTCCCCGTTCCAAACCCTGGGATGTACCTTGACTTCCATAGCTGGTATCCATACCAGAGCTATCCCATGATTCAACAGCACTGTCCACGCTGGGTGCTGTACCGCAGTAAATGTCGGAGTGTTTGCCTGGTTTCTGTGGAGTAGATGTTTCATCCTCTACATCACTCAGCTCACTTAAATGACTGGGAACGGGGAATTTCTTGGGACTTGATGCTGAATGGACTTCAAAGACAGGAAATTAATTTAAGCTTCACAGCAAGGTTAAAGGAAAAAAAAAGTTACTCAATTCTCCCTTGGCTAAGAACAAAAGACTGGAAAGTCATTTCTCGAAAAGTATACACACAAATGCACGCTTGGACATTCTTATTGAGGGGAAGAAACACAGGGGTAATCATCAGCTGTTTGAGGAACAGCACCATAGTTCTAGTTACACTCACCATCTGTCTGCTTCTTAATTTTCAAGGTGACAGTCTCTCCTGCCATCTGTAACAAATGGATGGCTTCACTCAAAGGTTTTCCCTTCAAGCTACTGCTGTTGATGGCTAGGATTCGATCGCCAATGTGGATTGCACCAGTTCTGAAACAACAAATAAAACTTATTGGAAAGGTAAATATAGCTCCAGCTCTTTTCCCTATAGCAATTCTTTGACATACTTCACAGAATCATGAAAAACACAGGGCTGGAAAAGAACCCTAGGGGGTCTGCTCATCTATTCTCTTCCAAGGCAATTGTTAAGAGAAAATTGCTTCTACTGGGCACCTCTTTTCGGTTTCTAGCACTCAAAGAAAATTAGAGAAAGAATTTTTAACTATCCAGAATTGTAAGACTTTTAAATCCCAAGGAGACAAAAAAAATTTTTTTAAAGGCTAAGGAAACAAATAATAAATCAACAAATGAGTAAAGCAACATTTACCTAATGATGTAACTTTTCTCTAAGGATTTCAAATGTTTTGTAAAGAATTTTATAAACCATTCCTGTTCTTCAGAAGTAAGCTGTTGGATAGCTATTGATGGGAAGTCTTACTCCAGGACACATACACAGAACCACTCTTATAAAGGTTCTTGGGTTCATGATTTCCAGAATTTCATACTCAACCACATCATGCAATTCTGTGAACGTTTATTAAGTGCCTATCATGAGTTGGGGCACTATGCTAAGTGCTGGGGACACAAACTGAGGTAAAAGTCCCTGCCCTCAAAGAGCATACAATCTAATGGGGGGAAGCAACATGCAAATATACACAAAGCAAGCTATATACAGGATAGAGAGGAGATAATTAAAAGAGGGAAAACACTGGAATTAAGAGGGGTTAAGGGGGCAGCTAGGTGGTGCAGTAGATAGAGCACTGGCCCTGGAGTCTGGAGAACCTGAGTTCAAATCCAGCCTCAGACACTTACTAGCTGTGTGACCTTGGGCAAGTCACTTAATCTTGACTGCATTATAAAAACATGAGCAGCTATCCCCTCATGCCAAATAGCAAAATGAATGAAATCGAGTTTTAATTTCAACTCACTAAACATAAAATTATAACCTGTCCTGTACGGCCGCATAACAGAATTGTATTAATATGCACATGTACTCTCTCTCAAAAAAAAAAGAAGATTAAGGAAGGCTTTCCGTAGAAAGTAAGATTTTAATTGGGATTTAAAGGAAGCCTGGAAGGTCAGTAGTCAGAGTAGAGGAAGAAGACTGTTCCAGGCACGGAACAAGCAGAGAAAATGCTCAGAGTTGAGAGATGGAGTGTTCAGAGCTAGAATTTTGAGTCTAGGTAAGGTACTACTTATATAATCATATAGTGTTCTTTTTTGAGGCTGCCTCCTTCATGGGTCACAACCCAATTCTGCATTGATCACTGAAAAGGTTGTGAAGGCAGTTTAGTTTCTAAAAATATCCAATCTTTTTTTACAGTTACTATATAGGAAAGCTGACTCAAATCACCTGAAGGTTAAGAGCTATAACATTCAAAACTCACCATGAAAAATAATTTTTCATATCTGAAAGATTAGTTGACTATTTCCCAAGGATAGTGATAATTTTAAATGTATAAAAGAGAGAAGGATAAGGACTGGACCCTGTGATTTCACTGGTATAGGGAACTCTCTGGTGAGGAAAGACTATAGAGTATATGAAAAGGCTAATATTGTGTTTGAGAGAGTACATGTGTGTATTAATACAATTCCGTTACGTGACCATACAGTACAATTTACAATTTTATGTTTGGTGAGTTGAAATAAAAACTTGATTTCATTCATTTTGTTATTTGGCATGAGGGGATAGCTGCTCACATTTTTATAATGCTTTAAGATTTGCAAAAAACTTGTTATACATAAAGGAAAGAAATAAGCATTTATGTAGCACCTACTATGTGCCAGGCATTGTGCTAAATGCTTTGTAAATATATCATTTGAACCTCATAACTAATAAATAGGCACTATTGGCATTATTACCTCCATTTCACAGTGGAGGAGAAGGAAGAGAATAAGGATTTGTATAGTGCCTACTATTCACCAGGAACTGTGCTTAGGGCTTTACAAATATTACCTCAGTTGATCCTAACAACAATCCATTGAGGTAGGTCCCCAACTTACAGATGAGGAAATGGAGGCTCAGCAAAGTTAAATGACTTGCCTTTAGTTACACAGCTAGGAAGTGTGAGAGGTAGGATTGGATCCCAGGTCTTTCTGACATCAAGTCCAGCATTCTATCCACTATGGCTGGCTGGGCTGGAAATTTGGACATGTTATATGGAGGGAAAAAAAAAGAGGTGTTTTTTTGGGTTTTTTTTTTTTTTGCATTTGTCTGCAGAGTAGTATTAGTGTTGGTCTGTAACACGCTATCCATGTTGCCCAACATTGTGTATATAGTGGCACACCTTAGTTGCCAATATCTACTTTTAGACATGTTAGCTTATCAGACAGCCACATACATTTTTTCTACTTCTGAATGACTGGAAAAGAGGCACATATAGAATACAGGATGTGGAGTCAATCAATCAATCAATAAACAATTATCAAGCACCTACTATGTACCAGTCTCTGTGCTAAGCACTGAGAACAAGAAGAGGCAAAACTAAATAGGTTCTGGGGGCAGATAGGTGGTGCAACAGATAGAGCACTGGCCCTGGAGTTAGGAGGATCTGAGTTCAAATGTGACCTCAGACCAAACACTTGACACTTATTAGCTGTGTGAGCCTGCGCAAATCACTTAACCCCATTGCCTAAAAAAAAAACAACAAAAACCAAAAACTAGATTCTGCACTTGAGGGTTTATCTACAATTCATCTTTAATAATATGATGGCTTCACAATCAATGCAGTCTAGACTCCTACAGCAACTCCCTGGTCCCTAAGAGGTCAGTGGATGATTTTTTAAAAGCCCTTCAATTTTAATACTATTAAGTAAAACTCAATTGGAAATGCAAACCTTCTGGGGCTGGGGGATAGAAGGAAAGAAACCACAGGATACATTCTTGAGCAAGTAAGAAAAGATTTCTATATTGTTCTCCTCCATTAATTTAGTATTGGTGTCTGGGAGCCTTAAAACATTTCTTCACGAGGCCACCCTTAGTAAGTAGGCAGAAAAGGATTAGGATTTGAGAGCTAGAAGTGCTCTTGGAAATCATCTCTTGCCATATTCTCATTTTAGAGATGGGGAAATGGAAACACAATGGGGCAAAGCAGCTCCCTGAAAGTCAAACAGATGAATTAGGAGGGAGGAAAATCTAGATGACAAATTGGGAGGATATCTGAGCCCATGGAATATCTGAGCTCTTTCTATATACAAATCATAATTCCCAACCTTGGAAATCTCTAAGAATTCAGTTCTCTGAAACTGTCTTTTTCACAGTTTCTTATGGCTCAATCATATTCCTTTATATTTACATACTATAATTTGTTCAGCTGTTCCTGGATAAGGCCAGTGTAGAAATCTGTTTTACTTCACTTTTTACACACACACACACACACACACACACACACACACACACACACACATGTATATATGTACACACATATATACAGATATACACACATATATGTATGTATATATGTATATATGTGTGTATATACATATACCTAAATTTTATTTTTCAAAGGAGTGGGGGAAACAGAGGAAAGAGAAGGGAGATTGATTTAAAAATAAATTCAGCTCTCTCCATGTGTCAAAGGGATGACAACAACAAATGCTAGTATTTTTTAACAGTGCTTTCAGATTTGCCAACCACCTGACATGTCATTTAATTTGATCCTCAACAACTCTGTGACATGGATACTATTATTATCCCCATTTTACAGATGAAGAAACTGAGACACAGAAGAGTAAGTGGCCTGCCCAGTGTTGCAGAGCTAGTAAGTATCTGAAGCAGAATTAGAACTCTCATATAGCCTAATCTGTTTGTGTATTCTTGGACAGCCCTAAGGGCTCATGTCAGCCCTCAAGGACCTCCTCAAGGACTCCTTGCATAAAGAATGTTAAGTCTAGTTAAGAACTTTGGAATCCGCCCCACACTATGCCTTAACACTGCACACCTGGGGATCTGAGAGCCTCAGTGGCTAATGAACCAAGGGGGAAACAGCAGGACACTGGGCTGTCACCAGCTAGCAGTGTTTCTTCGGATAAACCTCTTAATCAACCTGAAGTTTTGCTTCCTCTTCTGTCAACCTGACACGACAGAAATCTTCCTTCAAAGGGCTGTGAGAAATACAGCTAAATTATTCATCAATGTAGATTGTAAACTTCCAAAGGGACACATCAACCCCAGGTAGTAGCATCTTTCTCTGTGATGTTCCTCAATGTCAACCTGGGCCACAGAAAGCTCTAAAGCCTTTGCTGAGCCCCTCAACAGCCAGGGCACCCCCTCTCAAACTACCTTGTATTTAACTACCTTGCATTTTTATTCTATCTACAATTCTATCTATATCTATCTATCTATATATACTATCTATATATACTTATATACCTATATATACACACACATATATACTATCTATATATACTTATATATCTATACACACACATACATGTACTATCTATATATACTTATATACCTATAGACACACATACACATAGGTACTATCTATATATACACTTATATATCTATAGACACACGTATATGTACTATCTATATATACTTATATATCTATAGACACACACATACATATATACTACCTATATATATCTATAGACATACACATATATACTATTTATATATGCTTATGTATCTATACACACATACATATATGTACTATCTATATATATACTTATATATCTACAGACATACACATACATATATACACATATATCTATAGACACACATATATATACTATCTAGATATGCTTATGTAGCTATACACACATACATATCTATACATATATACTATATATATACTATCTACATATGCTTATCTATATATATACACTATCTATATATGCTTATGTATCTATACACACATACATATATACTATCTATATATATTTATATATCTATAGACACATACATATATGTACTATCTATATATACTTATATATCTATACACACATATATGTACTATCTATATATACTTATATATCTATACACACATACATGTATACATACTATCTATCTATATTTATATATCTATACACACACACACACACATATATACATGTTATCTCCACCATCAGAATAATAATGATAATAATGACAACAATAGCTAACACTTGTATAACACTTTATTATGTGCTAGCCACATAAGCATTTTACAATTATTATCTCATTTGACCCTCACAACAACCCTGGGACGTAGGTGCTATTACTATCATTCCCATTTTACAGCTGAGGCAGACAGAGGTTAAGTGACTTGCGCAGGATCACACAGCTAGCAAATGTCTGAAGCTGGATTGGACCTCATGTCTTCCTGACTCCAGGCCTAGAGGTCTCTGCACATGGTGCCATCTAGCTGCCTGAATGTAAGCTACTCACAAGCAAAGATTGGTGCATCTATTATATTTGTATCCCCAGTGCCTAGTACCATCCCCGGCTCACAGGAGGTGCTTAATAAATACTTGTTGATTGATACTGAAATGTTGAGATCGGTCCTTACTGGAGGTATAAGTAATCTAACTGCTGGAAGAAATAGCTTCTTCAAACTTTACCTTTCTGCTAATCCTCCTTTAGTGAGGCTGGAGATAATGATGGGATCAAAAGGCTCCTCTGTTCCCGAAATCGTGATGCCAAGGGGGCCTCCATAGCGCTTGAGCTCCACAGTGTAAATAATGGCTCCAGAGCTCTCTTGTTCATCTGAAAGAAAAGCAGAGAGGGTAAGACTGAAAGGCTGTGGTTGGTTCTGAAAAAAGCAAGAATGTGTGTGTGTGTGTGTGTGTGTGTGTGGATGTGTGGATGTGTCTAAATAGGTATGTGCATATGTGTATATTTGTGTCTACACAAGTATCAATATGTGTCTATATGTATGTCTATACGTACATGTGTCTACATGAGTGTCTATATGTGTGTCTATTTCAGGGGTGTAACCTACGGCCTTGAGGCCACATGTGGCCTTCTAACTCCTCAGGTGTGGCCCTTTGATAGAATCCAAACTTCATAGAACTTGAGGCCCACATGTGGCCTCAAGGCCACAGGTTCCCCACCCCTGGTCTATATAGCATGTATGGATGTATTATATGTGTGTATATGTCAATTAGACATGCATACATATATCTGTGTCTACACATGTGTATAAGTGTGTATGTATATATGTGTCTATACAAGCGCATATACTAGTATACACTAGTATGTATAGATATAGGTGCATATGTGTGTCAATGTGTATCTATATGTATACATACATATGTGTCTATATAAGTGTCTATGTGTGTCCACATACTATGTATAAAGGTGTTGTATTTGTATACGTGTATCTATGTACATATTTGTGTTTATAAGGTGTCAATATATATATGTGTGTCTATATAAGTGTATAAATGTGCATGTATATATGTAT